GATTCCTCAAGGATCTAGAACTAGAAATACCATTTGATCCAGCCATCCTATTACTGGGTATATACCCAAAGGATTATAAATCATGCTACTATAAAGACACATGCACATGTATGTTTATTGTGGTACTATTCACAATAGTGAAGACTTGGAACCAACTCACGTGTCCATCAATGATAGACTGGATTAAGAAAATATGGCACATATACACCATGGAATACTATGCAGCCATAAAAAAGGATGAGTTCATGTCCTTTGTGGAGACATGGATAAAGCTGGAAACCACCATTCTGAGCAAACTATTACAAGGACAGAAAACAAAACACCGCCTGTTCTCACTCATAGGTGGGAACTGAACAGTGAGATCACTTGGACACAGGGTAGGGAACATCACACACCGGGGCCTGTCGGGGGGGTGGGGGGCTGGGGGAGGGATAGCATTAGGAGAAATACCTAATGTAAATGATGAGTTGACGGGTGCAGCAAACCAACATGGCACATGCATACCTATGTATCCAACCCGCACATTGTGCACACGTACCCTAGAACTTAAAGTATAAAAAAAAGAAAAAGAAAAGAAAAAAAAAATTGTTCACCTTTTACCAAAGTGTTGGGATTATAGGTGTGAGCAACCACGTCTGGTCCTTTTTTTCTTTTTTTAATTGAGGTGAAATTCACATAAATTTGACCATTTTAAAGTGAACAGTCAGTGGCATTCAGTAAATTCACAATGCTGTGCAAACAGTATCTCTGTGTAGTTCCAAAACATTTTCATCACCTCAAAACGAAACCTTGTACCCATGAAGCAGCCACTTCCCATTTTCCCCTCACCTTAGCCCCTGGAAATCACCAATTGGCTTTTTTTCTCCACTGATTTACATATTCTGTATATTTCCTATAAATGGAATTGCATAACAGGTGACCTGTGTCTGGCTTCTTCCACTTAACCTAATGCTTTTGAGATTCAGCCGTATGGTGCCACGGATCAGCTCTGCGTTCCTTTTCATGACTAATACTCCACTGTATGCCCACACCACAATTTGTGTATTCATTCATTAATCTGTGGACACAGGCATCGTTTTTAAGCACTTCAAATATGTTAACTCACTGAATCCTCACTACAAAGACAGATTCAGTTACCATATATTGAGAGAGTGAAAACTGAGGCACAGGTAACATGCCTGAGATCACATGGCCATGCAGCAGAATGAGGACTCCAGCAGGCACAGTCTAGTCCCAAAGCCCTTCCCCTCCTAGTAACCTAAGGCTCTACTGCCTCTCAGAGAACAACCCAAAGAGCACAGCACGAGGGCGAAGCTGTCTGGTCTGTCTGGTGAAGCTTCAAATGCTGTTCATTTCAGATAAAGGGAGGTTCCTGGGCTGCAGAGGCTTTGTAGAGGAGAAAGACCCTGCAAGGTCTAACTCAGGGCAGGTCAGGATGGTGTGAACTCACTCTGAACAGTCACCCATGGGCGTTTATTAAAACTGGCTCTGGAACCCCCACAGGGAAGGTTCTTATCTTTGCCTGCACAACAGAGAGCCCTCTGGGTAGATTTCTAGACCCAGGCCTCTTTCAAGTATGTTAGAAACCTCAGCAAGATAAACTATTTTCTGTCTGGCTGCATCTGTCTGTTTAGAGAGCGGGACATTTCCATCCTCCTCTCTCCAGGCATCCTTGGAAGCCTTTCCCACAAGCAAGACATCTTGGTGAAATTTAATGCTGGAGAGGCAAGTGGTTTTCAGGAGAGGGGAGTGTGTTCCCAGAACTGTAGTACAAAAGCTAGAGGCTGAGTAGGGAACATCTTAAACTAAGTCGTCCGTCTTATTTCCAGTTTTCTTCCTGTAGATCAGGGCTCAGGACACCCTGCCGCATTTTCTTCACTCCTCCACCAGGAATTCCTAAAGTCCATGCTCATGGATCCTGGGAAATCCAGGAAGCTGGCGGATGCTGGCAAGCCTCAGCAAGACTGCCTCGGACCAACCCTGCAGCCTTAATTCCCTAGGCCCACTCAGCCCAGCTGACCAGCAAAGGCAGGCAGGGCTTCCATGTCCACACATGAGAATGACCTGCAGCTCTTTGTCCAGGCTGAGGTAAAGGATTCCCAATGCAGCTCGAGGGGCTGAGGGTAAAAGTCTTTGCAATTCAGTTCCTAGGAAATCTTTAAAATTAGGTCTGGGATGAGTCTGTCAGTAGATTAGGTAAAGAACTTTTATGAAGTTGAGGGTGAACCATCTGGAGGGTGAACTGGCTGGTGTGGTTCTGGAACTGGGGGTGGTACCTAGCAGCGCATTGGTGAGAAGACACAGCCAGGCTTGGTATATGATGTGGTGTGTGTATATTCACAGGCATCATGGAGCATATACACTTTTTTGTGTGTGTTGAAATAAACCTTACAGATTACAAAGTACTTTTTTTTTTGTTTTTTCGGAGACAGGGTCTCTCTGTGTCGCCCAGCCTGGAGCACAGTGGCACAATCATAGCTCACTGCAGCCTTGACCTCCCAAGCTCAAGTGCTCCTCCCACCTCAGCCTCCCATGTAGCTGGGACTACAAGTGCGTGACACCATGCCTGGCTATTTTATTTTTGTAGAGATGGAATCTTACAATATTGCCCAGGCTGATCTCAAACTCCAGGGCTCAAGCAATCCTCCTGCGTCAGCCTACCAAAGTGCTGGGATTACAGGCATGAGCCACCATGCCCAGCCAGATTACAGAATACTTTGACATCCTTTCTCTGCAGCCCTCAAAAGGAGGCAGGGCAAGCACAATTAAATCCCATTACAAATGGGGCGACTGAAGCTCCATTCATGGCTTGCCCAGGGTCACACAAAGAATGAATGGCAGAGCCCTGAGCCTGTGTGCTTCCCTCTGTGCCAGGCTGCTTTACCCGGGCATGGGTGCACCTTGTGCATGGGACATTTCTCCTTTGTTGTGTCCTGAGTACCTTAAGCCACTCAGATATTGCTCAGGTGGAGTGACGGGAAAATGTTTTCAGGTTGCATTAGTCAAAACAAAATACCACACACTGTTGACTTTAAAATCATACATTTATCCCTCACAGTTCTGGAGGCTTGGAAGTCCAAGTTCAAGGTGGCAGTTGGACGGGTTCCTGGTGAGGGCTCTCTTCCTGGTTTGCAGACAGCCACCTTCTCTTTGCATCCTCACTTGGTGGAAAAAGACAGAGGAGAGAAAGAGAGAGAGAGAGAGATAAATCGGAGAGAGAGCGAGAGGGAGAGAGTGAGACAGAGAGACAATGCTCTCTTTTCTTACCAGATCTATAATGAGGGCCCTACCCCACGACCTCATCTAACGGTAATTACCTACCACAGGGCCATCTCCACATACCGTCACATTACGGGTTAGGGTTTCAACATAAGAATTTGAGGGAAGACATAAACATTCTGTCTACAACAGGAGTGGAGATCCATCTCTTCCTTACCTCTGGTGAGGGGACCACACGCTGCAGCCAGTGAGACAGTGGCATGTTCTGTTACAGCTCGATCCAACTGCCCCAGAAGAGGGGGCAGGGAAGGCGGACAAAACTGGGAGAGGGAGAGAGTATTAGGAAGAGAGGAGGGTGGCCAGACATAGCAAATAAAATATAAAATGCTTAATTTTGAATCTCAGATAAACCACCAATAATACTTTTTAGCATAAGTATGTCCCAAACTAAGCTTGGGACATATTTATGCTAAGAAATTCTTCGTTGTTTATCTAAAATTCAAACTAACTGGGCATCCTGTTTTAATCTGGCCACCCTAAAAGGCAAGGGCCAAAAATGCCGGAGTCAAGCCAACGGATTCCAGGAGGGACGACTGCTGGACTTTGGACTGATGCTCTTTTTACATACTTAACTGTTTTAAAAAAGCCTCTTTTCTTTCTTTTTACCAGCCTTTCACTAGCTTTTTAAAAACTGGTAGAACATACATAACCTAAAATTCACCGTCTAAACCATTTTTAAGCATGCAGTTCGGTGGGATTAAGTAGATTCGCACTGTTGTGCCGCCATCACCACCATTCATTTCCACCACTCTTCCATCACCCCAGCCTGAAACTCGACCCATTGAACACCATTGAGCTGCCCGGCTCCGCCTTGCTTCCCCATTCTTGGCGACCACTGCTCTGTCTCTATGAATTTTGACTATTCTAGGCACCTCACAAAAGTGGACTCATACGATATCTGTACTTCTGCGTCTGGCTTCTCTATTTAATTCTTAAAGCGGGGTGGGAACCAAGCAGATCACAAGGGAGCTGCCCACAGAGGTAAAGACAAGGTGAGGTATGCTGAGAGACGCAGGAAAGAAGGTCAAGGTGTAGGCTGGAGGGCAGGGGCGGGCCCTGGGCCTGGGCTGGGGGTCCTGCCCCGGGGCGCACCCAGGCCGAGGGATGCCCGGAGGAGCCGAGGCTGGCGGACAGCTTGACCCTGAGCTTGAAGGGAAGGCAGCGAGGGGACAAAGGACGGAGGCCTAGGAAGAGGGTCTGCAGAGCAGAAAGCACGGGCAAGGGCGGCCTGGCGCTCGTAAGACAACAGATGGAGCCGTGTGCACGTCGGGAGCTCGGAGTGCGCGTGAGCTCCGTGCTCAGGCCCACGACTCGGCCCGCCCGGCCAGCTCTCCGGGTCAACGGGGTCCGGGAGCCGCGCTTGGGGAGGGCGCAGCGCAGGGTGAGCGGCGGCGTTAGGACCCGGGGGCGCGGGCGGGCTGCGGCCGGCGGGGCTAGGACCCAGCGGCTCCGGCGAAGCGGAAGCGGCGGCGGGAGCTTCCGGGAGGGTGGCGCGTAGGTGAGGAGGCGTTGGGGGCGGCGGGAAGTGGGGTCGTGGGGGATGGCGGGGCGAAGTCGGGGACTGGGAGGGGCTGGAGGGAGGCAGTGGGGAGGCCCAGGACCCTTCCTGGCCGAGAAGCCTGCGGCAAGCTTGTGTCCCGCGGCCGCGGCACGGTGCTCGGCTCCACTGCGGACGCCGCCGCTGGGCCCCGACCGCCCGGGAGGCGTCTGGGGCTTGCCCCGGAGCCTCGTCCCTGGAGCCGCGCCCTGCACCCGGCCTTGCCCGGCCCTAGCAGGGAAGCCGAGGCCTGTGGGGCGCAGGGACCCGGGCTCTGCGGGGTCGCGGTTCCGCCTCCCCACTTCTGCGCCTTCCCGCCCAGGCCGGATTCTGGGAAGCCTCGCGCGGCTCTTCCGCAGCTGCCGCCCGCCCGGAGCGCCTGGGCCCTCCTAGGGGACCCCACTTCTCTGACACCGCTTTGGGTTCCCGGGGCCTACAGCGAGGCCTGTAACTCGGGGAGAGACCCTGGAGCGGGGTGTGGGAGAACGGTCTGCAGGAAGGGCTCCGAGCACTCGGAAATTATAAACCGTGGTGCCAAAGAGGCGCGCGGTGTCTGCATTTTCCTGGGAGCGCGCAGTTTACACTACATTCTGTAAAGCAGTGCTGTCCACTGGAAATACTGTGCGATACACATGTACAAGTTTTGTCGCTTAAAAATAATTTGAAAAAAACTTGATGAACATGGCATAGATGCAAGAAAAACACCGTTATTATAGAATACGCATTCATGGAATGCATTGAAGACTTGTTACAAGATGGATAGGCAGGAAATATCGCAGACCTAGAATGAATTGCAATTACCTACTGTGGAACTGAGGAGCTAGGGTTTCTCATTATTAAACTCCCAGATAGAAGACGACTTTTGATAAAATTTTTCTTTTTGCCCCAACAAAATCAACTGTGTAGTGAAGACAAACAGTTGGGGTGATGTATACTAAAGTAAGGAAAGTATTGACCACACCCTAGGGGCTGGTTAGTGTTAGATTCCCTTGTTCTTCCCTCTATCAAAAACAGATCTAATTTAGGTTTATAAAGACAAAGTATCAAGGTAAGGTGACTTACAGTTGGTAGTACTAACAAAGTTTTCGAACTAAGATTCGCATTATTAATGCATAAGAACAAAATATCAATAAATAACAAAAAGCTTGGAATTCAGACAACAGATCCAAGTCTGGGCTTTATCTCAAGCTAGTGTTTTGGTGTTGAAAAAAGTGTTATTTGGTCTTTTTAACCCCATTTCCTTATCTGAAATTGGGGATGATGATAAATTCACTGATATTAAGAGTTAAATGAGATTCTTGAGGAGTCAGAGTGGTTCTAACATATGTAGGTATTATGAGCAGTCATACTGCAGCGTAAGAAAATGCCGTTTGCTGAATGAGGGACAATAAAAGTTATCTACATGATCATCGTTTAAAAGCTACCAGATACAGGAAGAAGGGGCCATAAAATGATAACGTTACGATCATTAATTTTGATGCTCAGGTCAGAGTCCATTCTAGGATATCTCCTGCCCAAAAAGAGCAGAGACTCATTTCTTTGGAATCACAGGATACGAGTGAGAGGACAGAAAAAGAAAAATATTTCAGTCACATATGTGATTTCTAAAAGTAAAAGGAAACAGATGAAATGAGTAATATTTTTTTAAATCCAGTATATCCCAAGTATGGTTATTTTAGCATGTAATCAATGTAAAATAATAAGAGATTTTACATTCTTTTTTTCTAGTCTTTGACATTTGGTGCATGTTTTACACTTACGGCACATCTCAATTTGGACTAGCCACATTTCAAGTGCTCAGTGGCTGCACGTGCCTGGTGGCTACCATGTTGGACAGCACAGGTCTAAGCATTTCATTCCTGCCACAAGTTCAAACTCCTAGCTGTAATTTTGAGTGTCTTTAACAAAGTGGCCTCTGTTTATCATTCTTTCTTCTAGTACTTCCCCGAGGATGATTGTACCCTCAGCACTCAAGACCACTTGCTGTTCCCCTACACACTTTTTGTTCGAGCTGTTTCTTTTACCTGGAATGCTATCTTTGCACCTTCTTCCTGGACCTGGTTCACTCTTGTTGCCTAGGCTGGAGTGCAGTGGTGCGGTCTCGGCTCACTGCAACCTCCACCTCCCCAGTTCAAGTGATTCTCCTTCCTCAGCCTCCCGAGTAGCTGGGATTACAGGCATGCACCACCACGCCCGGCTACTTTTGTATTTTTAGTAGAGACGGGGTTTCACCATGTTGCTCAGACTGGTCTGGAACTCCCAACCTCAGGTGATCTGCCTGCCTTAGCCTCCCAAAGTGCTGAGGTTACAGGCGTGAGCCACCGCGCCTGACCGAGAGGCACACATTCTGCCAAGAGCGTTTGAGCGTTTTCCTGACTCCCCTGACTCCAAAAGGGATTTGTCACTCCTTAGCTTTATACTCATGGCTGAAGTAGAGTGAATTTAATTTGAGTTTAGTTGTTTTTGAGACTATCTCCCTGGCTAGTGTAGTGTGTTATTTATCTTTGTTGTGATCATGGCCTGCACCGAATAGATGATCAGTAGATGTTTGCAAACAGAAGGTAAACTGCTCATCAGGTGTATTCGGTCCTATTCTTGAATGGGCTTGCTGCCTTCCTTTTGAGGAGTTTGTGTATGTACTCTTCTCTCATGCATGTGTGTGAGCAAACACGCATACACTAACAAGGAATTCATCTGAAGATGTGTACAGGAAATATCTTGCATCTTTATTCCCTTTCTGATCTTACCTGTGGGAGAACAGAGGCACAGAAATAAGTTAGGACGGCCAGCAAACTTGCATCAGTATAAATACAAAGAAGGGGAGGGAGGAACATTCTTCATAGAGGTGTTGTGGTCTCAGAGGGTTAGGCTTTTCAGTTGGCTGGGTATCAGCTGACCATGCTTTAGATATTTGATTGGAGGAAAAATAAGTGGGAGGTGAGGAGTCACTCCTGGGCCCTGATGAGTTTTCAAGGCGAGTACAGATCTGGAAGGCCTGTATGCAAAGGAGGAACTCACTGCTGGAGAAAAGCTGAAGAGCAGGATGGTCATCTCAGATCATGAAAAGTGCTGGCCTGAGGAGGGCAGGAGGAAGGGCAGCCAGCAGGGGGAGCAAAGGAGTAGGCTCCAGCTGGGTGAAGATGCTGGTGTGGTACATTGTGTGAAATATACGAATTTTTATTGGGAATAACCACGTCTCAGCCGTGCTAGTTCTCAGTCTGGAGAATGGCAAATGGAAGGGATCAGATTCAGAGACTGCAGCTTACTCAAGGTCACAGCATTTTAAACCCAAATGAAACCTCCTAGGCCCTTCATGCCACACTCATCCATCCCTACCTACTTGTATCGCAACCAAGGGCCCCACTGTAGTGCCTAGGAGAGCAGGTCTAGGGCACAGTGCCAGGCCTGATTAATGTCTTCCTTACCATTTTCCAGCGAGGGGCTGTGATTAGTCCTATTTATAGGGGCCTGGTCCCTTAATATGCTGCCTGGCACATCTCTTGCCAATCAAATCAGTACCGTCTGCAGTGTGATTGCTGCTTTAGTGGCACCAGGGAGAGGAGTTAATTAAACCCAATATAAATAGACTCTGCCCTCACTTTGCAATTCCAGAAGTGTTTTTCCTTCCTGTCCTCCACCCCCACATGCACCTCTTTCCTCTTTTAAAAGCTAAGCTCTAGCCTAGGTGAGGAGGGCTGGACACTCTTATACCTAGAGAGGCACTAGCCACTGCCCAGTCTGTTTCAGGAGCAGCCCTCAAATTCCTCAGGGGTTAAAGTGGGAAGAACCCGTGTGTGCACATTTTTTATGCTTTTCCAGAACTGGGTACCATTTGACAGTTGTTCAGGCAATCTCCCCCACTACCCCATTTCTACTCCTCTGTTTCTAGCCTCTTTTTTCCTCTGCAACCAAGGTTTCTTTCTTATTTATCCAAGGTGGGGAGCTGAACCGAGACAATGTATGGAAAGGGTGCCTGGCAGGCACCAAGCACCTTGTGGGGGGTCAGAAATGTTGCACCTTCTCTGAACTCCTCCATTGACCCTACAAATTCCCTAGTCCCCGATCCTGCCCTTTCCCTCCCTCATTCACTCAACAGGCATCAGCAGAATCCCATCTATGTGCTCCTGGCCTCCCACCAAATGCTGTGTCCTCTCCTCCCCTATCTGTGCAGGCTGAAGCTATGTGCATGACTGGGATGAGGGCTGTGTTGTCTCAACACCACGCCGCCCTGTGGTGGGTGAGCGCGGGTGGACGTGGGTGGCTCTGATGCTCCGGCTGCCGTCCACAGGCACCATGACTCCTGTGAGGACGCAGCACTCCCTGGCAGGTCAGACCTATGCCGTGCCCCTCATCCAGCCCGACCTGCGGCGAGAGGAGGCCGTCCAGCAGATGGCGGATGCCCTGCAGTACCTGCAGAAGGTCTCTGGAGACATCTTCAGCAGGTGGGTGCTGCCATCCACCCCCACCTGATCAGAGGGCCATTCCCATCCTGGGCAATCCCAGCAACGCACCCTCTGGGAGCAGCCCCCTTGGGGAATCCTGGTCCTGGGGAACCCATCTGGCTTCCCTATGTGGGAGGGGCCTAAGTGAGAGCCCAACTTGGAAGGTTTTGCTTCTGGGAGTCTGAGAGCTCACTCCCTTCCACCCCACTTAGCCTCCTGGTTTCCTGTGGTGGCTCTGCCCTCACAGCTTATGCTCTTCCTCCCATTGGAGGGCCTATTCCTTCACTTTTTCTTGCAGCCAGCAAATATTTACCCAATAGTGCTTGTGTGCACGGCATTGTGGGAATCTCTGTATATCCAGCCATGGATAAGGCAACACCTCTCCAACTGGAGCGCACATTCTGGCAGGAGAGAAAGACCTAAATAACCAATGCATGATTAGTTCTTTAATAATAATTGTGACAAGGTCTATTGATAATATTTTGTAGTCACTAATATTCATATAGCATAAACCATGCACCACCATTGATTTGAGTGCATTTAACTCACACTTTATGAGCAGGCACTGCTGTCATCTCCGTTTTATAGATGAGGAAACTGAAGCACAGAAAGGCTGAGAGACCTGGCCAAGTGACAGAGCCAGGATTCAAAGCTGTAGATCATGACCCCGGGTTCTGTGGGTTATTACCACATCTGTTAGGTGGAGATGGGGTGCTGCGAGGTTCATCATGGGAGGCCTGGCTTGGGTTCTGTGGGTTATTACCGCGTCTGTTAGGGGGAGATGGGGTGCTGCAAGGCTCATCATGGGAGGCCTGGCTTGGTCTTGGGTCAGGGAAGGCGGATGTGAGGAAATGACATTTATGGTAAAGTCTGAGGGTTGAGTGGGCAGGTCAGGAAGAACATGCCAGAAAGAAGCACATGAACTACAGCTTTGAGGTGAAGGACCTAAAAGGAAGCCAGCATGGCTGGAGCATGGAGTGGCCATTGAGGGAGCGGAGCTGGAGCGGTGCGGCTTCTTGTATTGGCAGCGCTGCCCTGGCACAGTCGCTGGGCTCCAGTGCCTTCACTCAGTGTTTATCTAACATGAGTGAGTGAATGGTGTTTGCTCTTTCTTGGCAAAGGTCCCAGGGCTTGTTTTATACACAGGTCCTGTCTTTGGCCATAAGCAGCCTGAAATGAGGCTTGGTCTCCTTCCCAGGATCCCACACCGTGCCTCACATGGTAGACCCCAGTGGGAAGTATGTGACTGCCTGACTCAGGTCCCTCTCGTGGTCCACGTCACCCCTGCTTTGCCCCTTCCCTGGTTGTCGCCAGACCTGGAGCCCCTGCTCCTTCACTTTGCAGCCTCCTCTTCTGTCACCAGCTGGGAACCCACCTCTTCCTGAAAGTCCCCCCGCACTGACTCACCGGCTTGCCCCAAGCTTGTCAAGAATGTCCCTGTAACCAGGGGCCATGCACTGAAGTGGCTGAGGGGTTACCTTGGAGCTGATGCCTTGGCTCAGATCCGGCTGCCCTGTTTGCTTCCCCTGTAACACTGGGCAACTCAACCCCTCTAAGCCTCAGTGTTCTCCTTTGTGAAGTTGTGGTAATAATGGTAGCTTCCTGGTAGAATTATTGTAAAGATTAAATTAATGAAAACATGCAAAGGAATGGAACAGTGCCTGGCACCTGGAAATGCTGGCTCTTGCCTGTTGATAATCTTGACCCGTACACTGCCTTTGGTCACCATTCATGAACCTGCCACCAGTAGTAACAGAAAGTGCCGGATGCACCTTTTGTGCTTATTGTTGTACTAAATGTGCCCAAGGGATGCCTAGGGAAGAGGATGCAGGTCTTTAAGAGCCATCAGCTCCGGATCATGGCCACCCCATGTCCAGCACTAGAATGGAGGCCAAAACCATCCCTCGGAAACTGTGTTTCCTCGCCAAGACGGGGACTGCATGGTTGCCCTTCTCTGAGGGCAGCCCTGGATTTTTGCATCTTTCCTTTCTCGTCCTGGTGTTTGGCACCGTGTAGACAGTTGTATGTCCCCTGCCCGGGGGTGGGATGAGGAGAGGGCAGGAGGGCATTTCCTGGGTAGTGGAGTGCTGCGTTCGGAGTGCGGGTTCTCCAAGCTGCTGGCACAGCCCAGGGAGGGGCAGATGCCTCTCAGGAGCCTTGGGTCTGAGTCCTGGCTCCCTGACTTCTGGCTTCCAGGTCACTGCATCTGTCTCTCCACTATGTGCTCCACCTCATGCTGGACCTTAGGAGACACCAATTATGTGGCTGACACTGTGTCCTAGAGGCTGGAGTGGGAACACATAGGGTGAGATTGATTGTTCATTGCTAGCATGAACCGCGTGGGCTTCTCAGGGTGTAGAGTGGAGAGAAATCAGTAAGAATCGGTGGCACACCTGTCAGAACTCCCCAAACCAAGCTAAGCAAAAAGTAAGCAATCAGTAGAGCAGCCTTTGGAGTAAAGGCTAAAATGATGTTATCAGGGCCGGGTTTTGCTTTCCTTCCATGTCAGTTTGCTGCTTTGGGTCTGGCTGCATTCCCAGACAGGCTGTGCGCTCGTGGTGGAAAGGTGACAGGACACAGGGTCAGTCCAGCAGGAAAGAATGCTCTCCCGTGTCCCCACTCCCTCCAGAAGGCACACTCACCCATCCCTCCTGGCTTGGTCCTCGTGTCTGTCCCAGCATCCGTTGTTGGGGCCAGGGGACTATGACACGCCACTTGGCTCAGACTGAGGAGCTCTGTGGGCAGCCCCACCTGAAGCTCTGGGACTAAGCCTGTGAGAGAGATGGATTCCATGGGGCCATTGCTTGAGTAAAAAGAACTAGTTGCTGGAGAGGAAAACCACGTGCCTACTCCACATAGGGCAGGCTCCTGGAGGACGGGGCAGGGGGTAGGGAGGTGGGTGTGCAGGTTGCCCTGGTGGGGTCTAGAAATAGGGGCCGCAGGCTTGGCGAGAAGCCTCAGTGTGACTTGGAATGTGGTATATGGTGGTCTGCGGGGAAGGCCAGCCTGCACAGTGCTGGGAGGGGGGTGCTTCTGCATGGGAAGCACAGACAGCGCTGCAGCTGCCTTGCACTCAGCTCTCAGGGCATGAGAGGCTGACTTCCCATGAGCCTGTGGGCCAGGCCTCTTTGAATGGTGCTGAGGGAGCTTTGCCTTGGTTCCTTTGTGTCCCCACGGTGCCATGGGAGGCTCCCTGGCAGGGTGTGGGGCAAGGCAGTGAGTGAAGAGTTGGGATGAGTGAGTTAGGGCCCACAGAGTGCTCAGGACAGGACTTCAGGTTTGATTCAGGAGTGTTAGGGAGCTGTGATTGGATTTAGAGCAGGGCAGGGATGGGACAGAAGAGTTTGGGGAAGGTTCATCAGGCATCCGCCATGGAAGGGACAAGAAGGGAGAGAGAGTGGATGCCAGGGACACCCAGAAGCTGTTGTCGTAGTCAGGATGTGACAGGGATAAGGCTGTAGACAGGGGACTTGCAAACAGGGAGGGCAGGGTGAGACATTCAGAAGAAACGACGACAGGAAATGGTGACAGATGGGGAACGAGGAGGAAGGAAAGGGAGAGTCAGTGATGACTGGCGATGGAGTGGGGAGCACTGACACGTCCTGCTCCACTTGCCCCTCCTGTGGCACTGGACAAGCATGTGAGCTTTTCATTTTTCATGGACTTTTTTTGGTGGGGATGTGACCAGCTTTGAATCTCTCCCCTTAAACATGCTCCTCCTGCTTAGAAACCTCCTGCACAGAAGAGACAGGGACGGAGGATAGACTCTCTCCCCACCCCCCATCTCAGGCCCCAGCACAGCCCGGCCTCTGGACTCACTGGTGTCAGTGCCCGGTGGCGCAGGCAGGTGAGCTCCTGGCAAATTAGCATTCCAGGCTGTGCTCTCTCCTCCTGCTCTTCTGCAGCCAGGAGTGTGCAGAGACTGGAGGGGATGACAAGCACCTCCTAGGCGCTCTTCAGCTGTGTCCTCCAGACCCTCCCTGCCCCCTCTTTCTGCCCCTCCATCTGTCCCCTCTTCACCTGGGAGAAGCCAGGCCCCCAAAATAGCGGTCCAGATATGTCACCTGCTTCCCATGATATAGAAGACAAGGCAGGAGGGAGTTGGGATGGCACGGGGAAGAGGAAGGAACAGACTATGTGTGGAAGTTTGAATGCTGTCATCTGCCATTGCCCATCAGCCCCTGCCCAACCTCTTCCCCCAAGAGGCAGTGCCACTGCCCAGCACCTTCCCCCTGGGAGGGGTGATTTTCTCTGCAAAGCTCTTGGTCCTTTCCTCCATCTCTTTCTTTTTCCTTTTCCCCACCTCTTCCTTTCTTCTCCTCTTCCTCCTTTCCCCTTTCCCCTTGTCCTCACTTCCTCCATCCTTCCTTCTCCCCCATCCTCTCTACTGATTGGCACCTGGTGGCCCCCAATGTTACACACTGCACTAGATCGCTGCATAATTACCAAGTCATTCTTAATTATCCCAGAGTGGAGAAGATAAAGGCGAAGGCAGGAGCCCAGGTTCAGGGTCCATTTCCCTGGGGTCGTGACAGAGGCAGGGGAGGAGAAGCAGTGAATCTGGGTCAGGAGTGGGTGCTCCCTGCTTCTTCCTCCCCAGCAGCCTCTAGGGGGACTGGTGTGCTGATGGTGATGGGCCATGATCAGCTCCTTCTTACTTTCACAGTAATCCCGTGATGTAGAAGGGACCATTCCTGTTTTTCAGTGGAAGAAGCCGAGGCAAAGACCAGTTAGTGACTTCCCCAGGGTCATACTGCTGCTAAACAGATGTGAAACCCAGGCCTGTGGGATGTGGTGGTTGTTGATATTCATTTCTCACTTCCCCAGGAGCCCTGAGTCCCTTTGAATGTGGATGTGTGTCGTCTGGTTCCCAAGCTCCCGCAGGAGCAAGCTCCCGTGGCCCCAGCACTGTGCTTGACAAACGAGATGCACTCAAGTTATTGAGCAGTCACGGGTGGAGGGGGGAGAAGGAAAGCAGGGGTGGAGGGGAGAAGGAAAGC